GCGTTGTCTGAGGGCTGCGGGGGGCGTTTTCTGCAGCGCATTGAAGCCTTCACCTGTTGTCCGCCTGTGTTCTCGTTGTAGCCTTGATTAGCCTGTCCTTTGGGGGAGCAGTCGGCCTCATGTTCTTGATGCTTGGATGTGCCCTTCCCCAATACAAGTAACGTGCACTCTCTTCCTGTTCTTCTTTGCTTCTCTTTTTGCATGTCTGTAACTCCAGAATAGTTTGGCTTTCATAACTGTGGACTGATAAGTCTTGTGTGTGTAGCGGGGTTTTGGTGGATATATATATATTTTTTATTTTTCTTTTTTACTTCAAAAGTTCAAGGTGGAAAAGAGCACCACCCAGGAGTTAACTCACTGTAAAGGTGAAGGCGACAAAAGTTTAGTTACCAGGCCTGGCTGCAGGCTGTTAAAGGATGCACATGTCTCCAATATTGTGTCTCTGCAGCTGATAAGCAGACAGCATCTCCTGAAGCAGACAGCAAGTAGCTATTATCAGGGAAGTGTTTGCATTTTCTCTGGCTCCTTAGCGGTAGCTGCGCCATCGGGTGGATCCTTGGCTGCCTGCCACGCCTGGTCATGTAGCGTCTGGAATAATGGCAGCTGCACTTTTGGTCCATTGATTCCTATCTCTTAGTTTCCAGGAGATACGAAGCAATAGACCAATAGTTCAGGAAGTTAGTGTGGCTCTTACTCTTTGCAAATGAATGCTGACTTCATAGAAAATCTTTTAAATTGACTTAGTTTATGTTAAATGAATATTAAATATCCTGTTCATAGTCCTGTTAGTGGTTGTGAACTGCAGTTCTCCACATATATGACTAACTCTCTTATACCACCTCTCTTCCGTTATAAAACCAGAGCTGGTGACACAAACCCTTAGGAAGGAGGTCGTTGTGCAGTCATCCTTCAAACAACAGTGCAGTAAAGTTTTATTGAAAGAAAGTGCAGCAGCATTGGTGTGTCTGAGAAATCCAGTCTGCCGAGCTGCAGGCAGTGAAAGAAAGCATTGTCAAATATGATGCTGTGGGTTTTGTAGGTTTTTGTTGGTTGCATTCAGATTTAAAAGAAAAAAGTCTTGATGCCCCATGACTCCTGAGTATGGGCTGAGAACAGTACTCTGTTCTGTGTGTGCACTGAAAGCTTATGCTCTACAGAGGTATCTCTGCAGTTCTTCAGTAAAGCTGACAGGTTGAATTTTGGGGGAGGTAGCATTAGAGTTAGGCTTGCTGAGTGAAATCTTGCTTTATGAATGTCCTGTTAGTGAGCTCTCTGCTGCTGCTGCTGAGGTCAGTTGAAGCCGCCCACAAACATGGTCTGTTGGATTAACGTCAGCTTGTTCCAAAGCCAAGGATTTGCTTTCTCTGGGCTCGTGTCTGTGGATGCTGGATGGGGAAAATGCGATGTGTTGATTTTAGGAAGAACAGGAAATAAATCAAGTTAACTTTAACTTTTCTTCTCCTTTCTCTTTCAGCCAGTACTGGCCACTGTTTGTTCTGTTTTTTTACATCCTTTCTCCTATCCCGTACTGCATAGCAAGAAGATTAGTAGATGACACAGATGCTACAAGTAATGCCTGCAAGGAGCTAGCGATATTTCTTACAACAGGCATTGTTGTCTCAGCGTTTGGGCTACCCATAGTGTTTGCGAGAGCAGAACTGGTTAGTAATATTTCAATCTATGGTTTGTTGGGGGTTTTTTTTTGCTAGAAAACTTTGTTCTGTATGTTTTTAAAATGAAAGTAAAGCTCTCGTGCCCTAAGCAACTTCTATAAATACATTCTTAAGATGCTTGCTGTAGAAACAGAGTAAGAGTTTTTTTGACAAGAAAAACTTAATACTAGAAACAGAAGCATGGCAGAATGTCATGATTGCCAGTTGTTTATTTCAGTGAAATAAACCCAAACAGCCTATAAGCAATGCAGAGAAAATGAGACAGAAAATAGTGTGAAAACATAACAGGCAAGTAACCAAATTCAAAAGTGTATAGAATACTTCAAAGGCGATTTGAAGGAATAGTTGGGCTGAAGAAGCATGAATAAACAATGCCTTTTTGCAGTTGCTGTAAATTATATTGGTATTTTTTTTCTAAACTTCTGAGTTGTCATTGCATCTTTCTAGTATACGGCTTTTCACTAAAATCCTTTAAACAACGACCTTGTTTGCCTGAATTTCAGAGAGCACTGCTAAGTCAAAAAACATGGAATGCACTTTCCTAAAATCTCTTCAGGCAAGGACAGCTCAGAGGGTTGGTTTGAATGCCTTATACCCTTTGAGTGAGTAATCCACTTACTCTTCTTGGAAAACATTCACCTCCTTTTTTGTTACTGGGATATCTGCTGGCATTTTGAAGACATGCATCCTTAAAATAACTGTTTAAAAAAGTCTTATAGCACGGTTAGAAGTATAGCTGGGCTGCAGACGTGTTTGCTGTTGCCTAGCCTTACTTTACTGCATTTGGGTGTTGCCCACAACAGCCGTGCCTGCTAGCCAACGCTTTGAACACAGCTAGAAGACGCTTGCAGTGCTGCTTGGCTAGCTGTGTATTGGTCGAGTCGTTTTGGGTAAACCCAGCCTTCTTGGTGCAACCACAAATAATGAGATACCACCGTCTTGCATCATGGACCTGTTACTGAACTTTTGTCTGTCATGTGGCATTAAGACATTACCTTTTGTCTTGTCAGTATTCAGTTCAAAACGTCTCTTAACTAAATTCCCCTTGTTCGCAGATTTACTGGGGCGCGTGTGCACTGGTTCTTACGGGGAACACAGTCATCTTTGCCACCATCCTAGGATTTTTCTTGGTCTTTGGCAGCAACGACGACTTCAGCTGGCAGCAGTGGTGAAAGGAAGATCAGAGAACTATCACAGGCATCTTGTCATACAGTGGCCATCCATACAAATGAGAGAATGGGCAATAAAGAGAAGTAGCGTAGCAAGCCTCTTGAGTATTCTAGATGCTCCTTTTCACCTTGTTCGTGCTGAGTGTACTGCTGTTGCTGACAGAGTTTCTACATTTTTATGAAGTGCACAGATGATTGATTTCATTTTTACCTATGGTATGTTTTTAGGTGCTTTCTTGGTTTAAAATTGTCATCCTTCTGTCCAGTGTTTATGTGAAGCTTTAAATCTGGAACAAGAACATTTAAACATGGTTTCAAAGAAGATTTAAAGTCTTGGGGTTTTTTTTAAGTTAAGCATTAATACTGTGTTTCAAAATGACTTTTTTTTTTTTATACATGATTAAATTATATACAAGCTGAACTGAGGTAAGAGATTGTGCACCACCATTGTCAATTACCAGATCAATAGATTGTTGCTACATTTTAGCAGAGGCAGGGAGTACCAGTTGCAGATTTCTCTTCTGCCCATACCTCAAAGTGGGTGATGAATGTTGATAGCCTTCATTTCAGGAGAAGGCTGAGGAGCAGGTAGGATTATTTGGGAGAAGTCCTAAATTTTAACACCATTATCACTTTTACCTGCTTTGTTATCAGTTCTTGTGTGGATGTGACATTCATTTACTCTGTAAATGTATCGATGCTATGACATACAAAACTAAATTGTCTTGTAGGGGGAGGGAAAATGATGTTTAAATTCAATTTTTTAAAAAAATATCTTTTGAACTCTTTCTATTTATAAGTATTGTATGGTTTTGAACTTTTTGTCAGCTTTTTGCCACAAAGATGGTAAAATGTTCATTTATGGAACTACTGGTCTGTGTTAATTTGAACCATATACAAAGCTATTTCCTCCTTCCCCATTTTAATTTATTTTATACATAGCATATCTATCTATATATATATAAAAAATACAGCTTTTCAAATGTAGATTAAAACTTTGTGTTAAACTTGCCTAAGAATTATTCCTCCCCGCCCTGCTTCCTTCACACAATGCAGCTGAGGCACGACTTTTTTGGAAGTCACTGGCTGAACTGGTTTCACTGACTTGTTTTTAAGTTCTTATGCACTATCGGTTAATAAGATTTAATGTTATGTCTGTAGCTGTAGCTTGTGTTCTGTAAGATTGCACATTCAAATATTTAAGACAGGTTTTCTGCGTACCTCTCAATTGTCTGGATTTTTCATTTAAATAAATCTGCCATTAGACATTCCGTCATGAGGTAGTTGATGAGTGCAGTTAACCAGGTTTGATTGTACCACATGCAGTGATAAACCTGAGCAAACATACTTCTGAACTATATTTTTGTTAAATTCTTTAAAAAAAAAAGTAAGTCTAGGAAACTTACTGCACGTAATTAAAAGCTGTCGATTGCTTAGGTTTTGCTTAACAGCGGAGCAGTATGAAAAGGTACGGAATTGCAGGTCTTCACTGTAGTATTTGTGTGCAGATGTAAACAAAGTATAACACTTGAATATTTGAAGTCTGATAGTAAGGTAGTTACCTACATGATATGCTCAAGGAACTGATACCAGCAGGTAGGGTCAGCAGGGGCGTAGCTACCTGCATGTGCTGCTTTGTTAATGTCATCCTGGGTGTAAAATAAGAGTTCGATTTTCTCCATGCTGGTAGAGGAACAAATAGGTGCTAAGACCACAGCACAGAGGCCAGTTTATAGCAGATGGGCTTCACCGGACCGCACTTTTTCAGTGAGATTTCTGCATCCCTGCCCCCAGCATGATGGATGCTTTGGAAAATCTTCTAAACCAGTGGCTAAATTTGCAGTCCTTTGCAGTCCTGGCGAAGGACTTGTAGAAATCTAATGAATCCATTAGTGAGTAATTTTTTGTGATCAGGGACTGTGTTTTCTTTGTCATCCCTGTGCTGCTAAGCCTGGTTCTCAGTGTGATGCCACTCTCTGGATCACCGTGTGCATTGGCGGTGGCTTTTTTTTTTAAATGTAATTGCGTTCCAGCATTACCTTCTTTTGCTGGCACACTGAGTGCGTGCAGTATTGCTCTGATTTATGAGCTAGACTCTTGAGAGGTATGATCCTTCCATATAATATGCACTGAGATAGCGTTACCATCCTTCTAGAGGGAAAAACTTTGAACGATAAAAATTTTAAATAGCAATCTTGAGTTCTGTATGTTTAATCAAAAATACTCTAATAAAAGAGTATTTTGTTCCAGATATTAATTGTTCTTTTCTTTCTTTAACGTGGTTATCATTCCTGTTGAGGAGATGTTACCAAATTACTCAGTAGTCCTTCAGAGTGAATATTTATTTAATTTACTTTGGACTGCTCTATAGAAAGAGGCTCGATGGTCCTGAGCTGGCTTTGCTGGTTGTGTCTCACATCCCGAGTTTCTCTTTGAAGTCCAAACTCTGGTATGTTGGCGTTACTATACAAAGTGATAGTCACTGTCACCCTCTGACTGATTTATAACTGTATAAGTTTTATTAAAAAACCTCCCAGCCTTTGTAATATTTGTAATAATTCGTGACATGTCTGAAATTTGAAAACTCGTGACTGATGTCAGTCTTTCCGTCTTTCAGCAGAAGAAAGTAACGGGAATCCTTTTTTGGGGGGGGTGGGCAATGACCCCCTTCCCACACACGCTCACTTTAGTCATATCTGCTGATTTGATTAAACTTCGGGTTTAGGGGGTTTTTTAATTTTTTTTTTTTTTCGTTTATTTTGAGAGGGTAAAAACATTAACCAAAAAAAAAAGCTCTTTAGTTAAAAACATTGGAGATGGAGCTGAGTAATTTGGTGATAACCAAGATGCTACAGCTGCACGCAGGTTTTTTCATGAAATCAAACGAAACTCGCAATGTCGCGCGGACGAGCAGCAAGTTCGGGCGTAACGAAGACAATGAGGGAGCACCGGCTCGGCCGGGCCCGCGCCTTCCGTCGGGCGCTGCCTGGGGAAGGAGCCCGGGTGAGGGCGGGGCCGGGGGGTCAGGGCGCCGTGAGGGC